TCAACACACACACACACACACACATCCCCCCGCCATATTTTGCTCAGGTGCTTCAGTAAGGAATAAGGCAGCCAGCTTCAGCCTCACTTGTTTATCCGATACAGAGGTATGACTCACCGACTGTAGGCCCTAACATGCATGACCTCAGTGATCCAGCTGAAAGACCACTCTGTGAAAAGCAGTTGCTATCTGTTCTCAGTTTATGCTAACTAAAGCCCCAGCCCTGCTATCGGATCCACACAGTTGATGTTTCCACTTGTGTGAGGTCCCCTTGATTATTTTTCCCCCCTGGGGCTCTGTGTAGGTGCATAGTTCTGCCTATGTGGATCCAATAGCAGGTCTGGGGCCTTAATATTGTTCTTGGCAAATGGCCTGTGTGACCCTCCAAAGTCTGGGTGGTTCTGCTTTACTGTTTACTTGAGACCAAATCCTGCTTCTTCAAAGGAGTTACTCCCGCTTCCCAGTTGTGTAAATGAAAGCAGAATTTGGCCAATAGTGTCTAAAAAGTCTAATTTGCGTATGTTTAGGTATAAGTAGGTATCTTAATTATGGAATAGTTGGTATAAAAATGCTTTACAATTAGTATAAGTTAATTAAATGTTTCAGCAAATTGCATAGGTGAAGTTAATGAATTTTTACTGAGGGTTAATTTTTTTTTAAGGTTAAGGCCAAATTGGGTAGTAGTGTGTATTAATTTAAATCACATCATTGTAAGAAATATTTAAGAGGAGTAGTCAGTTTGACCACATATGACTACTTCACACTATAGAATTCAAACCATTGTTTGTCATCAGCGGTGGTCTAACAGATTAACTTCCAGTATTCTTAGTTATGTTGTAATTGTTCCACAGCTAGCTTAAATATTGGCATTATAGGTCTTGGGCTTCCAGCCATGGTGGGAATTGAGCCATATTTTTATATGTTGTACATACAGATAGACATATGTACAATAATTATTTAGCAAGTTGGTATCATTTAGAGATGAAATGCCAGCATCAACCAAATATAATTAGAATTCTTTTTCTGGTTTATTTAGATTGGAAGATTGGTTATTGGCCAAAATGGCATCTTATCCACACCTGCTGTTTCATGTATTATCCGAAAGATCAAAGCAGCTGGTGGAATTATTCTAACAGCTAGTCACAGTCCTGGAGGACCTGGAGGAGAATTTGGAGTCAAGTTTAATGTTTCCAATGGAGGTAGGTGTTTTTATAACACATTACATCATTGTATCTCACTCAGAAAGGTAGAAATAGGTTGATACAGATAGCCAGATGATTATAACTATTTGCTTTCCTGTTATATGGATGCTGTATAGTTTTCAATATTAGAAGAGGTTTTGTTTATATATATATATATATTTATTTTATATGGAAAAAATATACCCTGAGTCTATATACGTCTTAGTTCAGTTCCCTCTGAATCTCTGAATAGGTGTTTTATGTACAGAAGAGCTGCTGAATATCATCCTGTTTTTTAAATTATATTTAGTCTCTGCTAGTAGATGTGTGACAATGTCCGTTCTGCCTTTGCTGGTGGAGTTGACACCCTGGCACCCCTCCTGCTTAGAAAAGCCAGTCTCAGGTGCCAACAAAACTAAATCCTGAAAGGGCTGGGAGGAGGACACAGCCAATCAGAATCCACCAGGTGAATTAAGAAGGTTTGCCTGCATTGTCAAAGGGGAAGTGCTGGGTAAAGCTGGGGCACGAGAGTAAAAATCTCAGTTTGAACCCAGAGCCCCAGCCCTAGGTCTGGACCAGGGCCTAACTATCAGACTGCATCTCTGCTTAAGTGGTGCAGCAGACTGGGTGATTTGTTTTGAAATATAAAGGGTCAAGTGACCAATTTTTGATTTAACTTTAAATTCTTATTAGAAAGACAAGTGAAAACTTGCAGCCTGGAACGCCTTGCTCCAGGCAAGCTGTCACCCACTTTATGGAACTGAAATGTAATGGAGTCCTGTCCTGCACACATATCCATCATACATATCTTGGCATTTGCTTTAAGGTTGGGAGTTTCAAAAGCACCTAAAGGACCGTGCCCTGGTCTTCCTATATTGGAATAAAGTTATATTGGTATAAGCACATTTAAACCAGTATAACTGCACCCACGGAAGGGGATTGAACTGTTTTAAATACAATGGTACATTTAAAGCGGTATCATGTGTATAGACAAAAGATGAGACTTTAGCTTGTACTGTTAGTCTAGTTCCTCATTTCCTTAAGCATGGAAATTCACCTGTAAAGATGATAATTTTACTTGGTTTTCTGCTTCCATCATACATCATAATCATGATTAATAATACTTGGCACTTTATAGTGCTTTTTCATCTGAAACTCTCAGGTCCTTTACAAAAGTGAGGGTACTTAATAGAAATGGACAATATTTTTCACCTGAAATTTGTTGGCAAAACATTCCAATTTGGTGACACCCTACTGATTAATAAATTTATGTTGGTATCCAAAAAAAGAGAGAGAAGTTCTGAAAGTAAAAATATTTAGATTCAAAATTTGCAAAGGTTAGCATTTTGACTTTTTCATTTGAGGCAACTTTTTGTTTAGAAATGCCTTTCACTTTTATTATAAAGTCCCGCACAACTTTAAAAAAATTGTTCAAGATCAAAACACACACACCACAACACCCTTCAACATGCACAAACACATCCCAGCACACTCACACACCCCAACACCCTTCAACACACACACACACACACATTCCAGCACACACACACCACAACACCCTTCAACACACACACACACACACACACACACACACACACACAAACACATCCCAGCACACACCCCAACACCCTTCAACACACACACACACACACATTCCAGCACACACACACCACAACACCCTTCAACACACACACACACACACACACACACACACACACACAAACACATCCCAGCACACACCCCAACACCCTTCAACACACACACACACACACATTCCAGCACACACACACCACAACACCCTTCAACACACACACACACACACACACACACACACCAACCCACACCCTTCAACACACACACACACACACACCTGGCCCCGCCATATTTCGCTCAGG